AAAAAGATAGATGTCATGCCATACATACCTGGAGCTTTGCTTAGATTGATGTTGAATATAGCCTCCTTTATATCCTCCACCTCGATCTTGTCCACTAATTCTCTATTCAGTACCTCAGAGATTGCAGGACTGGTATCTTGCAGGAGAATAGAACAGTCACCAACTCCTTCAGAGATAAAGAGCTTAGAATAAGAGTCTTCAATGTGAGCAGCTATTTCCTCTTTAGAATTTCAGAGGCTTTCATCATCTCTTAATAATCTTTCATTTGTATTATTCAGCCTTCTATGGATGGTTTGTGCTTGGAAGTACTTTGTCTTTATGTCTCCATGCTTGAGTTAATAGATTTTGGACTTCTACTTCCAAGTATTGTTCTTCCAACTTGTTTGCTTCATCAAGATCAAAATTAATTGTGTCCCAGATTTCCCAATCTATTAGGTTGGCTGATTCTCTCATGTTAGCTAGCTATTTGTTGAGCTTGTTAATATTCCTAGCATTATCATTTTTGAAGTTCTTGCTCCATTTCATAAGCTCCACTTTAGTGAACTTGATTTTTTCTTGGATGTTGAACTTAGGGGGTACCAGTTTGATCAGAACCCCAAGTTTTCTCTACAACCCCAGAGACTGTGGATCTATCTTTTGTCAAAGAAGAATCTTTTCCTCTTGGTAATCTGATCCAAGAAAGAGAAATTAGGCCATGATTAGAGAAACTTTTGAAGGCGTTATGAATAGAGAATGAGGGTAGAAATTGAGTCGATCCAGAGTGCAAGAAACCATGTCCAACTTTTCTTCAATGAAACCTTCTGAATTTCTATTATTTCCCCTAGTGAAGGGATAACCAACAATTTGTAGCTCTTGCATTTCCATCTTTGTTTGTCCCATTTTTGTTGCATTTTTCCTTGTTATTTTTCCTTTGTTTTCCCCCCCATTTTAGGTCTTTTCGTTGGTTTTTAGTTTGTTTTATAGTTTATTGTGTGTTTTTCTCTATGGTGGGTTTTCTTGTGTTTTTCGTGTATTTTTCTGGTTTTTCTTTATTTTTGGTGTGTAG